CTCCACGATTTTCAGGTTCATCTTCTCCGGCAAACCACCTACATTATGGTGAGACTTAATCGTTGCCGATGGACCATGTACCGAAAGCGATTCAATAACATCAGGATAGATAGTGCCTTGCCCAAGGAAGGAAACGCCGGTCAGCAGGTTAGCTTCTTCCTGGAAAATATCGATGAACAGGCCGCCAATGATCTTACGCTTCTTTTCAGGATCACTTACACCATCCAGGCCATCATAAAACCGCTGACGGGCGTTGATGCCCTTGGTATTGAGGCCAAGATGTTTATAGCCTTCCATTACCTGCTCAAACTCGTTCTTGCGCAGCAAACCGTTATCTACAAAAATGCAATAGAGGTTTTCACCAATGGCGCGATGTACCAGTGTGGCAGCTACCGTACTGTCTACCCCACCGCTCAATGCCATCACCACCTTCTGATCACCAACCTGCTCTTTGATACGCGCTACGGTTTCTGCCACAAAAGCTGCGGGCGTCCAGTCCTGCTTCGTACCGCAGATGTCCACCACAAAGTTCTTCAGCAGTTGACGGCCGTCGGTGCTATGTGTTACTTCCGGGTGAAACTGGATGCCATATACCGCGTTGGCAGCAAAGTCAGGTCCTGCTTTATAGGCAGCTACCGGAATGCTCTCCGTGCGGGCAATAAGGGAAAACCCCTGTGGCAATTCTTTTACCGAATCACTATGGCTCATCCATACCTGTGATCCTTCGCTGATGGTTGTCAGTAAAGGATCCTGGGCATTGCCTTGCAAGTGTGCACGTCCGTATTCACGGTGTGTAGACCGGCCTACTTCAGCACCTGCCTGCTGGGCAATCAGCTGTGCTCCGTAACAAACACCGAGTACCGGCAGTTTGTCTGCCATCGCCTTAATATCGGGCTTGGGAGCATTGGCGTCATTTACTGAAAAAGGGCTTCCCGAAAGGATAATACCCTTCAGGTTATCTTCATAATTAACCGGCTTGGTACATGGCTGTATCTCGCAATACACATGCAGCTCGCGAATACTTCTTGCTATCAGTTGTGTGTACTGAGAGCCAAAGTCGAGAATGAGAATTTTATCGTTCATTGATATACTTTAATAAAATGGGGAGTCCTGGCTGTGCCAGCTGCTTTCGTTCACGGGCAAGAAACCCGTTTCATTAAGCCTGCGCGGTTGGTCCGCCGAAAGAGAAAGGCAACGCAACCTGCTCACCGTCCTTGATCACTCCATTGGCAGCTTCAAAGCGTTTTACATTATCTACGAGTGCACGCATCAGGCGCTTGGCATGTTGCGGTGTCATGATGATGCGGGACTTTACTTT